ACCATTGGGGTTTTTATTTTTTGCTAAAGTAACAAAAAAAGACCAAAAATTTTGAAAAAAAAGCACGTTTTTCTTTGTTTCTGGTATAAAAGTTTGCAAATAAATAATTGTTCTTCATAAATTTAGGCCAAAATGTATTCTACTACATGTCTTTGGTGAAAATAACCCAAATTAGTATTTATTATTTAGTTTGTAGGAAAGTTATAGAGTTCACAAACTATGGGATATATCTGAATATTGATCAATCCTGAAGTACTGTCGGCCAATCTAATTTCTTGAGGTCCAAGAATGTCAGAACAGTACAGATATCCCCCAAATGACCCCTTTTTGAAAAGTAGACAGTCCGATGTATTTCATAACAGGCATGGCGAGTTTTTTGAAGTTGTAATTTTTTTCTCATAATTTTTCAGAAATGAAGAAATAAAAAAAAATGATTTTCACTATTTTTTTTTACATACTGTCACCAGTGCAGTACAGTATCATCACATAACTGTCATGGCGGTGATCAGGTACACTGACTGGTGACAGTACAAAAAAAAATTATAATTTTTTTAAATTTTTTTATTTTTTATTACATTTTTTTTCTCTTTTTTTAAGATTTGTTTTTCATATTTCACTATGACCAAAGTAGTACAATGTTACCATAGTAACATTGTACTACTTTGGGGAAGTGATCAGTATTTTTTTTTTTTACACAATTTGCATATAGCAAAGAATTACTTTGCTATAAGCAAGTATTTATCTGAATGAAATCGATTCATTTAGGATTTTTTTTTCTTAACTGTGATTTGGCCACAGCTAATCTTGTGACACAGCTGGGCTGTGATTGGCCCAGCTTGTGCATGTGATCGCTGTGACCATTCACAGCCATCCATTGTATTCAACTGTCATGTGACCTGCTGTTATTGGTCACAGCAGGTCACATGGTACCGGCAACGGGGCAGGTACACAGATCTGTCATCAGCCGTGTCCGAGGTACACGGCTGGTGACAGATAGCGCCACTGTGAGATGGGAAAACAGCTCTCATTGTTTGAACACTGTTTGTGTGGAAGTAAATTAATGTTTTGACTGACATTCTGCGGTTTAGCCCCAAGATGTCACTGTTTTTCTAACACAGGCTCAGACTGCATAGATATTTTTATATTCATGAAGAGGTGGGGTTTTGCACTCAGAGTTGAAGTTTAGTGAACAGGAAGAGGAGACTGCAGCCATGTTTTGGATGATGCTGAATGAAGGGGCCATGTGAGCTGAGAATCCGATGACATCCAGGTGTGAATGCGTCCCTCAGTAACCAGAGCTGCAGCTGAGTGAAACTGATGATATTGCTGCCAGGAAGCTGATGAGATTGCTGCCAGGAATGCTGATGAGATTGCTGCCAGGAAGCTGATGAGATTGCTGCCAAGAATGCTGATGAGATTGCTGCCAGGAAGGCTGATGAGAGCAGAGGAACTAAGCAACATATACGGCGAGACCGCATGTTTGTTGGAGAGACATTTGTTCTGTTCAGAGTCACCAGCGGATGCAAAGCAGACCCGGGTCGGTAAGATCGTGCACGCACCTCATTTCAGTGTTGGCGCCTAGAGACTGAGGCCAGGCCTATAGTTAGTTAAGGTCTCTGTTTGTGTCAGGCCACAAGTGTTGTTACTGATTATTGGAAGGACTCCACAACTTAAAGTGACATTTCACATTGGAGAGCTGATAAAATCCTACAAACTCAAGCCAGACTGGCATTTTGCTCAGAAGGAATGCTCAGGCATGTGCTACAGGACCAGTTATGGGAGAGGGAATACTGTAGATTTGTGTAAGATTGTAAGCTGTTGTGCTAGCCCATACCGTACACCCATACACTGATTCCTGCTCTTTTAGGGTAATAACAGGTAAGGTGTGGCAGCTTATTTGTGCCCGCCAGTAGGTAAATTACTTCACTTTCTACCTTCATCCATCAGAAGGTGCCATGCTGTGCAGCACAAGGGTCTCAGCCTTTGGGCTGGGTGTATGTAACATTTATTGTATGTTTCCAGCATTTGTGGTTGTGTTTATTTGCCACATCTAAGTAAAATTCTGTTGTGGCAAAAGCTGGTGTTGGGGTTGCTTTCCTCGTTTGTCACTTCACTGTATCCTGGGGAGCCCACCCCGGTACGTGGCTTACACCAGGCAAACTGCGCATACCTGAAAGGACGCCATATGGTGTCCACCCAGAGGGACGAGGTGTTTTGCCCAGTCCCTCACTGCTACCTCCTGACCACTTGAAATCTCCTAACAATGCACTGTTGAAATGAGTTGGGATGCATTCTCAGTGAATTGTAAGTGCCCAACTATTGATTATGTAGCGGGAAGGCACAGTGACATTCCTTGTGACTCCCAGAAGGCATAACTGAAGGTTTTTATATTTTTTTGTTTAAAATGTTGCCACCCATTTAACACAGTGCAGCAACATATGCGTCCCTGTGGGTGGCCAAAGTTTCTTTGCTGAGAGAGCACTCACTGCATGCTCCAAGCACATGGACCTAGCAGTCAAAGACAGCCCTCTGTCTGAACTAACAACTGGTAGTTTGTGGAACTGCTTCAGGATCATGTGACCACTGTGACAACCAATCACAATGGTCACATGATCTCTGATCCTTCCAGCCCCCCTGGTATTTAGAACTTTTTAAAGGGACATCGGGTTGGGTGGGATAGGGTTTAAACCAAACTCCTGGAAATATAAAAATAACTACCCTTGCAGTGCCACTCCCCCCCCCCTCCCATTGCAAAGGTTAAATGCTTTTCCAGGGGATAAGGACTAAGGTGTAATAGTTATCTTACTCATCACTCTGGCAGGCTCCAGCATTCTCCTCCGCTTTGGCTTGTGGTGGTCCTTCATTGTCCTCATAGGTATTGGCTCTGCATCATACTTGGTTACATCATTGTACAACTGATGGACAGAGCATCTTTCAGAAGAGGCTTTGGGACACCAGTTGCACAGAGATAGGAACTCAACTCTAGCCACCCCCTAGAGGTAACAAGCAATGAACTGTTGTAGTGAGGGATTATTTTTGGTAATCTCCAGAGCTGAATTTTACATTCCAATAGTTTTTATTGAACAGTTTTCAAATAACAGATAGAACAAATGAACGATAGTCATGTCACAATGAGTAGATTTCAACACAATGCAAAGAACATGGTTTATTGGATATAAGACATGCAACATGAGACCAGGGACTCTGTAGAGTAGCTATTGGATAATCCATACAAAGGTCCAATTCACTTATCTAGGACACAGTGGTGAAAGAAGGGAGGAGGAAGGGAAACCGGAAGGGAGACTGGAGGGCGGCATAGTGGGAGGGGAAGCGGAAGAACCACTGTTTGTGGACCTGAGATTACACACAGAGTAAGCGTCGTTTGGGGCATGACAAATGTTGTAAAACATATAGGGATTAGGCATAACCCACCCCAGAGGATAGAAAAAGATAATGAAAAAGAATAAAGAAAAGGGAATAGAAAAAGAGAAAGAGAGAGTCAAGTGGGTCAAGTTTGGGGACATTAGGGCACGGAAATATATTAAATCCATGAATCACATGTTTTGTCAAATGTTCTAGTATTGTTGTGTAGAATACAGATGAGTCTGTCGTTAATCATAAACCAATCCAGTTTATTCTTAACATAGTCAAGTGGGATGACCGATTACTTTCAATGTCTAGCTATAGTAATTCTCGCTGCCAACAGCATATAGGTGATCAATTTAATGGACTTTCTGGGAACGTTATCCAAGAATTTATGAAAGAGGGCCATCTCCGGGGATCTGCAAATATTCACCCCCATCACCGAATAGATAAAATTAAACATGCGGATCCAAAATCTGGTTGCTATCAGATGTTGTCACCAGATATGATACATAGAACCCACCTGGTCACAACGTCGAAAGCACAATGGTGAAGCAGATGGATGCATCCTCATAGTCCGAGTAGGGACCAAGTACCATCTTAATAATGTTTTATAGTTTGCTTCAATTAGAGTAGTGTTGATGGAAACTTTAGATAATGCAAGGGCAATATCTTGCCAATCACATAGGTCATAATTGACATTCAGGTCCCATTCCCATTGATCCATATAGGGAAGCTTACAATTCAGATCAGTGAGGAGAGCATACACTGTGGAGCAGAGTTGAATTTTAAAGTGATACTAAACTCACAGGGGGTTATTTACTAAAACTGAGAGTGCAAAATCTGGTGCAACTTTATATAGAAACCAATCAGCTCCCATGTTTTATTGTCATAGCATAATTTAACAAGCTGAAGTTAGAAGCTGATTGGCTACTATGAGCAGCTGCAACAGATTCTGAGTGCACCAAGTTTAGTAAATCTCCCTCTAAGTTTGCATTACTTACCTGCCTGTCCACACTGTACACTGAGCTGTGCAAACATCTGTACATTTAGAATGAACATTTACCAAATATTCTCTAATATATGTAGTTCCTAAATCATCAGTGCTACCTAGCGGCCATAATGCATTTTTCTCTATAAATATCTCAATCAGGAAATGAATTATGGCCACTAGATGGGAAAGGTGTTATAGGAACTACATATATTAGAGAAAAAATGGTGATTTTTCATTTTAACCACCTCCCGCCCACCATATAGTAATATGATGGACCCAAGGTGGTTCTCTCGTTCTGGGAGGACGTCATATGACGTCCTCCCATTCTAACCGTGCATCTGAGGCTCCCAAAGCGCGCAGAGCAGCGATCGGCAGTGCGCTGTGTCCCTCGGACACAGCGGATCACCAATCCATGGAAAGAGCAGAAGATGTCGGCTTGGTCATGTGATCAGCTATGTCCAATCACAGCTGATCACATGTAAACAGGGAAATGCTGGTTATCTGCATTTTTCTCCTCTCGAGCTGTCACATGGCGGCTTGAAAGGAGAGGAGAGCCGGTAATCGGCATTTCGCGGAGGGGATATGTACACTGATCATCAGAGCACTGATTATCAGTGTGCCGTGATGATCAGTGTAGCCCCAGCAGTGCCACCTGTCAGTGTCCATCAGTGCCAGCTGTCAGTGCTCATCAGTGGCAGTGCCCATCAGTGCCATATCAATGCCACATATCCGTGTCCATCTGAGCTGCCTTTCAGTGTCACCCATCAATGCCAATCAGTGCCACCTATCAGTGCTGCCAATCAGTGCCACCTATCAGTGCCACCTATCAGTGGCCGCCAGTGCCACCTATCAGTGCCCGTCAGTGCCGCCTATCAGTGCCAGTCAGTGCCGCCTAACAGTGCCAGCCAGTGCCACCTAACAGTGCCAGTCAGTGCCGCCTATCAGTGCCAGTCAGTGCCGCCTAACAGTGCCAACCAGTGCCACCTAACAGTGCCAGTCAGTGCCGCCTATAAGTGCCGCTTATCAGTGCAATATATCAGTGCTGCCTTTCAGTGCCCATCAGTGATGCCTATCAATGCCCATCAGTGCCACCTACCAGTGCCTCCTCATCAGTGCCCATCAGTGCCACCTATCAGTGTCCATCAATGCAACCTATCAGTGGCCATCACTGCAGCCTCATTGGCGCATATCAGTGAAGGAGAAAAATCACTTATTTACAAAATTTTATAACAAAAACTAAGAAAAAACTTTTTTTTTCAAAATTTTCAGTGGTTTTTGGTTTAAAAAAAACAAAACCCAGAGTTGGTTAAATACCACCAAAATAAAGCTCTATCTGTCACAAAAAAAATTATAAAAATTTCATATGGGTACAGTGTTGCATGACCGTGCAATTGTCATTCAAATTGCAACAGCGCTGAAAGCTGGAAATTGGCCTGGGCAGGAAGGGGTATAAGTGCCCTGTAGGCTTGTGGGTAAATGTGCGAATATTTGTCAAATCCACACAACAAATGTTTTATACGTAGATCTCAGTGTGTGATGATTTTTAATAATTGAAGAATAACTAAAGGCAAGACTTTATTTTAGATTTGGATAGAGTAGAGAGATTAATGTTTTATTGCTCTCTGTGTCCCCACTAGGGAGATTCACTCTCTCTATTTGTCCTGTTTACCATTTTCATTGAAAGTAAAAGTAAAAGAAAATCTAAAATGTGGGTTTTTTTTTCCCCAAAAAAGTAAAAGAGGGTAAATCTTCCAATGGGGACACTGGTTCTGGAAACCTGAATGGGGGGGGGGGGGTTTCAAGGGGTTTACTTAATTTGCAGAGACTTCTTCTCACTTCCTGTTTTGGCTATGGGACAGAAGGTGAAGGTAAATCCCCCCAAGAAGACAGAGCGTGCAAAAAAAAAAATATATCTGACAGGGTTTCCCTTTCTCTACTCAAAGTGAAAAAAAAAACGTTTTGCATATAGTTCTGCTTTAAAGTAATTAAAGCACCTTTGTGGCTTATTGGGTATAAATATCTACTGCTTTAAATAATACTTTGTCAGCTTCCAGCTGTGTGAATATTCTATTTACAGCTGCAAATTACGAAGCCTTTAGGACCTCAATATCTCAATTTCAGGTTTATAATTGTTATTATTAATATTATGTTTTCCATTACAATGCACAGAAACCGAGTGTGATACTGGATTTTGTCAAAGTGGCAATCAGAAGAAGCCGAGCATCTTAGAAATGAATAAGAATTTCCCCTTCCTGCTATGATAGCAGATGGTTTACAAAATAAATATACTATTCGTGTACAATATTCAGCCTTTTCTGACACATATGTTGGCATACTTTCAACCTGTTAGGTAATTTAAAATATAAACGTATAGCAATAGTGCAAATGTTGAGTTACAATTGCAGTGTTTGCCTTAAAGCTGGACTCCAGTCTACCTACCAGGATTACATTAGGACCCCCCCCCCCCCATATTAAAGTCTAATGTTCATTTAGTCTAGCAAGCATGTTATAGAGACTACTGTAACACAAAATAGCAAAAAGAAAAACATAAAATGCAAACATAAAATGTGCGTTATATCAAATAAGCACCACTATAAAAACCAAAGTAACCAGGTGTATGACAAATAAAGATTGGTCCATCCTGCCACAGTTCTAAAGAAACTCAAAAGTTCAGTCTTTACACCATGAATAAAAAGTGCTCCAGATGGACTATAGATTAGTCCATCTTGCAACAGTTTAAATAAATTACTCCAGAAAGTTCAATCTCTCTACTGTGAATAGAAAGTGCTCCAGTGCACCTCTCTCTAGCAGACTAGGGCTCACCAGGTATATTGAATTGAAGGCTGCAGCGAGACTGCACATTGTATTAATATTTTTGGGGTATTGTCAGGGGCGAACTGACCATTTGGAAACTCAGGTCAGTAGGGGGTGGTAATTTTTTTTTTTTCTATTTGTACTATTCATTTATTATTGATATATTTATTTTTTATATATTTTTTTTTTTGTTTTTGTTTTGATTGGCTGTTCCTTGATTGGGTGGTCAGTTGTGTGTGTGGGAAGGGGGGGTGTCCATTTCTTTTCATCGCTTATTGGCCTACATAAGTTGGACTAGCAGGTCTACATTTTAGCTCTGAGGAAGAGAGTTGTCTCCCGAAACGCATTAGCCTATCCCTTATAGGGTGTTTGACTTCATTGGACTGTCCTTACGGGTCACCTGTTCTGTTTATATCCCTTTTGGTTTGTGAGTATATATCTACAATTTTTCAATAAATATGTGGTGTACCACGTTAATGCACGATGGGAGTGCGCCCTTGTTTGTTTTTGTTCACTGTGGCCCCATGAGATGCCCCTGGTACCTTTTTCATAGGCTTTTTTGAGTTTGGGCAAGGACACAGGGGCCCCATGATCCCCTATTGCCCGGGGGCCCCATGAGTTGTCAGTCCACCTCTGGGTATTGTATGTCTGTAGGGCTGAGTTGGGTGATTATATTTAGTAGAGATTATTGCTTACCTTATTTCTTGGTCCTCAAGATTCCTCACTGCCAGGGGCGGACTGACCATTTGGAAACTCGGGCACTGCCCGAGGGCCTGGGGTCAGTAGGGGGCCCCATGATATGCCCCTGCTACCTTTTTCTTAGGCTTTTTTGAGTTTGGGCAAGGACACAGGGGCCCCATGATCCCCTATTGCCCGGGGGCCCCTTGAGTTGTCAGTCCACCCCTGCTCACTGCACTACAGTCTTAAACATTCTCATGAAACCTCTTCATGTGGTGACATAAAAACTCCCCAATGCCTGTCAAAAGCCCTCTGAAAAGCAACCCCACATAGATAACACTTCAGAGGACTTCCGTGTTATCTAGCCTTAAAGAAAACAAACTGTAGGATTGATTGTGTTTAGATCTAGTTTAATTTGTAGCCAGAATTAGTTATACCACCAGGAATCTTTTTTATTTTTCTTGCAGTCTGTAGATTAGTTGTGATGTGCACAGTCACTGACATTTACATGTATAACATAGTTAATAAATAGAAATCACAGGCTTACACTTACTAACATATCAAACATTAATTTTCACATGTATCTGTCACACCTTGTAAATCTCCTGCCAGTTAAGTCATCCTTAAAATGAAATGTACGCCGTTTCAATTTTCTTTAAATTACCACAATATTGCTTTCTTTTTTATTGTTTGCTGTGAACATTCCACAAATTATCAGCAAGTTATTATTATGTATATTAATCTGTCACTGCAAATCTATGTTTGCTCTTCTTTCTGTTCTTAATTGCAACATCTATATTATGTTTACTTCATAATTAGGGATTTAATATCTCATAATTGCTGTTAAGTTGTGATAAGCAAACAAAAAAGTAAATTAAATGATTTAATATGAAAGTACCAGTAAACAAAAACGTAAGACTGCACATGGTAGTAATAATTTGAGATTTGGCTGATAATTACTGATTATTTATAATAATGCTGCTTTCAAGCCTCATATCGTACAAATATTATAAAACATGATATATCCATTTTAATATATGTTATAAATTAAATTTAAAGTTTATCTTACTTACGCTTTGCCTTCATTTGTAAAGGAGCTGGGGGTGACAGGAAGCTGCATCCATTCTGAGTGACCCCACTTCTTTCCTTCTACTGTGACATGGATGGGGCAAATAGCGTCATAGCCACTTCACCAGTTTTGTCCACCAGAAAGAAGGCTGTTGTGGAAGATGATAGTCCAGAGATGGTGTGTTGTGTTTGAGATATATATATATATGTCCCTTATATTGTAAAGCGCTGCGCAAACTGTTGGCACTATATAAATCCTGTATTATAATTATATATAATTGTATATAAAATTTAATATAGGTTTTTGATTTTCTTAGATTTACTCTACATATACAATTTGTTAGTTTGTTCTAGAAGTAACATCAGTTTTCAAACATTGCCATTGGAAACATTTGCACAAGATGTCCTCTAATAAAATAGTAACATAGATACTATTGTATGTTGGGTAGTTGGCAGTTAGATGCTTCCATTCTATTTTGTTTTTTGTTATTATTATTTTACAGGATTTATATAGCGCCAACAGTTTACTCAGCGCTTTACAATATACCGGGAGACAATACAGCAACAGTACAGTTCTATACAAGAGGGTTAGGAGGGCCCTGCTCCTTGGAGCTTACAATCTAGGAGGGAGGGGCTAGTGGTACAAAAAGTAGTAACTGTGGGGGATGGACTGATAGGAGGAGTAGAGGAGTCCATTATTAGCTGAGGGCAGGATAGGCTTCCCTGAAGAGGTTTTCAGAGATCGCTAAAAGTTAGCAGAGTAGGCGATACTCTGATAAATTTGGGTGGGTAGAGAGTTCCAGAGGATGGGGGAAGCTCTGGAGAAGTCCTGGAGACGAATATGGGAGGAGGAGACAAGGAAGCTAGAGCGTAGGAGGTCGGTCGTGTGAGGAGCGGAGAGGAAGGTTTTGGGTGATATTTGGAGACAAGATTGGTGATGTAATTTGGGGCAGAGTTATAAATGGCTTTATATGTTATTGTTAATGTTTTGAATTTTATCCGTTGGGCAATGGGAAGCCAGTGGAGGGATTGGCAGAGAGGGGTGGCAGATACAGAACTGTTAGTAAGGTGGATGAGTCTGGCAGTAGCATTCATGATAGACTGAAAAGGGGATAGCCTGCGATGAGGTAGGCCAATGAGGAGAGAGTTACAATAGTCAATGCGAGAGATAACCAGGGAGAGAATAAATTGCTTAGTAGTTTCCGAGGTTAAGAACGGGCGTATCTTGGAGATGTTGCGGAGGTGAAGTCTACAAGATTTGGACAGCAATTGAATTTGGGGCTGAAAGGACAGATGGGAGTCTAGGATTACACCTAGTACCCTGGCATGAGGGGAGGGAATGATGATTGTGTTATTGATCTTGATGGAGAAGTCAGGGGATGGGGGGCACGGGCTGGAGGGAATAGTATGAGCTCAGTTTTGGAAAGATTGAGTTTGAGGAAGTGGAGTGACATCCATGCCGATATGTCGCTTAGTAGGTTAGTAATGTTAGATGAGACTGAAGGGGAGAGGTGAAGAGTAGAAAGATAGATTTGTGTG